CTCCGTCCACGACATCAGCTCGACGTGGCGAGGGGTCTCTGGGCAAGCGCGGGGGGGTGCGGCTGCAGGGCCGAAAGGCAATCATGATGGCGTCGGGCTCCAGCTTGGCTTTCCACTTAGGGCTTCGTGGGGGCCGTTTGGGGATCTCTTGGGGCGCTTTTGCCTGCGATATGCCTGTCGCCTCTCGTCCGCTCCCCCGCTCCTGGAGGGAATTCTGAAGGCACTGAAGGCTTCGTGGGGGCCGTTTCGGAGCCTCTTCGGCCTTCTTTTGGGCCTCCCGGGGGGGCTCTTAGGGCCCTCTCGGGCCGTCTTGGGTGCCTCTTGGGCCGTCTTGGGGCCGTCTGAGGCCCGCCTCGGCGCCTTTTGGGCTGTCTTGGGCCGTCTTGGGCCGCTCCTGGGGCCGTCTTGGGTGCCTCTTGGGCCGTCTTGGGCGCCTCCTGGGCCGTCCTGGGGCCGTCCTGGGGCGTCTTGGGACCGTTTTGGGGCCCTCCTGGCCCGTCTTGGGGCTCTCTTGGGGTCCTCTTCGGCCGTCTTGGAGCGGTCTGGGGGACTTCTTGGGCCGTCTTGGAGCGTCGGGAAGCCGAAGAGGCGAGGAGGCCGAAAACATCGAAAAACACACTAGAAATCGACGCTTTCTGTCGCTCGGGGCCCTCTTGGGAGGCCTCTTGGGAGGCCTCTTCGGGCGCCTTGGACGCCTCTTGGGCCGCCTGGGGCGAATCTCGGGCGTCTTGGGCCCATCTTTAAGCGTGCCGGGGCTCTCCGGGGCCGTCTTGGGGGCTTCTGGGGGCCCTCTCGGCGTGTCCTGGAGCCTGCCTGGGCGGCCCGGAGCGGCCCGGGGCCAGCCCGGGGCGGTTTCGGTGCATTGGGGCCTGCGCCATTCTGGCACGCACTGGGCCCTGCAATGTAGTAGAGACCAGGGCTGACCCCTGGACTACGTCCACTTGCGGGGTGAAGGGGTGCTGCCGCAAGGCCAGCAGGATGAATGGCGTCATGTTTGCCTGCCACATATCGCTGGGCTGCGGGGGCGGCAGGTAGCGCTGCTCGCCAGTCTGGGAGCCCCCAACGAACCCCCAACGACACCAACGACGGCGGCGGCGGCGACGACGACAACGACGACGGCGACGACGACGACGACGACGACGACGACGGCGACGACGACTGCGGCGGCGGCGGCGGCAACGGGCTGCAAGGCTAGGCTGGCCCGAGTCAGGGCCACCGGCCCGCCGGCCCAGTCGGCGGTGCCGATTCTGGGCCCCCCTGGCCCGCCGTCCCAGAGTCCTGCCCCTCTGGAGCCACCCAGCCAATTTAGGGCCCCCGACCCGCCAGCCTAGAATCGGCAGGGCCGACTCTGGGCCGCCACGCCGCCGGCCCAGAATCCCGCCCGGCGCGCCCCGGGGCCGCCGCGCGCGCTTCCGGGGTCGGCCAGGACGAGTCTGGGCCGCAGGCCCGCCAGCCCAGAATGGGCGGGACCAATTCTGGGCCGCCGCGCCGCCAGCCAAGAATCTCGCCCAGCGCGCCCTGGGCTAATTCTCGCGCCTCCAGGGCGGGCCTACCTGTTTCTGGGCCACCAACCCGCGAGCCCAGAATCGACCGGACCGATTCTGGGCCACCGCGCCGCCGGTCCAGAATCCCGCCCAGCGCGCCCTGGGCGGCCGCGCGTGCTTCCAGGGCCGCCAGTCCAAAATCGGCTAGGTTTTGGGACCGTCTTCGGGCCGTCTCAGGCCGTCTTGGGCTGCTGTTAGTGCTGTCTTCGGTGCTTCTTGTGCCGAGATCTTGGGGCCTCTGGGGCTCGATGAGGAGCCGCTCAGCGCTTCTTTTCGGCCTCCTGGAAGCCTCCTGGGGCCCTCTTGGGCTGTCTCGGGTGCCTCTTGGGCCGTGTGGAGGCTGTGTGGAGGCCGTCTGGTGCCGTCTGGGGGTTGTCTGGGGCAGTCTTGGGCGTCTTGGGCTGTCTTGGGCACCTCTGTGGCCGTCTGGAGCGCCTCTTGGACCGTCCTGAGGTCGTCTTGGGCTGACTTGGGGCCCCTCTGGAGACATCTTCGGCCGATCTTGGGGGCCTCTCGCTCTTGGGGCTGGTTTGGGTGCCTATTGGGCCGACATGGGCGCCTCGGGATCCGTGCTGGGGCGTTTTGAAGCGTTTTTGGAGCCGCTTGGGGCCCTTGGGCCGTCTCTTGGGCCGCCATAAGCGCCTCAAGGGCCGTGGTGGGGCCGTTTTGAAGCGTTCTGGGGGCTCTGGGGGGCCCCCTTGGGCCGTCTTGGTTGCCTCTCGGATGGTTCTCTTGGGGCCGCCTGGGCCCGTCTTGTGCCCCTCTTGGGCCGTCCTGGGCGCCTCTTGGGCCGTCCTGGGGTCGTCGTGGGCCGTCTTGGGGCCCTTGTAGGGGCATCTTAGGGCGATCTTGGGGGCCTCTATGCCCGTCGTGGACGCGTTGGAAACGAAAAACATGAAAATGCACACTAAAATATGCGCTTTCCGAAGGGAATGGGACGATTTGGGCCTCTTGGGGCTCTCCTGGGAGGTCCTCCAGGGCCGTCTTGGGAGCCTCCTGGCCTGCCTTGGGGACTCACGGGGCCGTCGAGGCGGCCTCTTGAGCGGCTCGGAGCCGTCTTTGGGCCGTCGGGGCGGCATCTTGAGCGTCTGGGGGCTCTGGGGGCTCTCTTGGACCGTCTTGGTTGCCTCTCGGATGGTTCTCTTGGGGCCGTCTGGGCCCGTCTTGGGCGCCTCTTGGGCCGTCCTGGGCACTTCTTCGGCAGTCCTGGGGTCGTATTGGGCCGTCTTGGAGCCCTCGTAGGGGCATCTTAGGGCGATCTTGGGGGCCTCTATGCCCGTCGTGGACGCGTTGGAAACGAAAAACATGAAAATGCACACTAACATATGCGCTTTCCGAAGGGCATGGGACGATTTGGGCCTCTTGGGGCTCTCCTGGGAGGTCCTCCAGGGCCGTCTTGGGAGCCTCCTGGCCTGCCTTGGGGGCTCACTGGGCCGTCGAGGCGGCCTCTTGAACGGTTCGGAGCCATCTGGGGGCCGTCGGGGTGGCCTCCTGAGCGTCTGGGAGCCGTCTTGGAGCCGTCTGGGAGCTCTCCGGGGCTCGCAGGGGCCGCCGGGGCGCCGACTACGCTTTCCCCGTGGCCCGCCTTTCCCGCACGCGCGGGCCCCTGCGTTGTAGTAGAGATGACGTCGGGCTCCAGCTTCGCTTTCCTCATCTCGCTCAGCAACGCCAGGGCCCGCTGCCACTGCTCGCCTTTCTCGCACGCACTAATCCCAGCACTGTAGCTGATGATGTCGGGCTCCAGCTTCGCCTCCCGCATCTCGCTCAGCAGCGCCAGGGCCCGCTGCCACTGCTCGCCCTTCTCGCACGCACTTATCCCAGCACTGTAGCTGATGACGTCGGGCTCCAGCTTCGCCTCCCCCATCTCGCTCAGCAGCGCCAGGGCCCGCTGCCACTGCTCGCCCTTCTCGCACGCACTGATCGCAGCACTGTAGCTGATGACGTCGGGCTCCAGCTTGGCCTCCCGCATCTCGCTCGGCAGCGCTAGGGCCCGCTGCCACTGCTCGCCCTTTTCGCACGCACTGATCCCAGCATTGTAGCTAATGACGTCGGGTTCCAGCTCCGCCTCCCACATATCGCTCAGCAGGGCCAGGGCCCGCTGCCACTGCTCGCCCTTTTCGCACGCGCTGATCCCAGCATTGAAGCTGATGACGCTGGGCTTCAGCTTCGCCTCCCACATCTCGCTCAGCAACGCGAGGGCCCGCTGCCACTGTTCGCCCTTCTCGCACGCACTAATCCCAGCATTGTAGCTGACTAGTGCAGACCTGTGGACTCCGTCCACGACATCAGCTCGACGTGGCCAGTTGAAGGCGCTCTCCACACCCTCCAGGACCTCCTGCTCTCCTGTGTTCCTCAGCTGCTGCTGCTGCTCGGAGGTCCTGCTGCTTCCTCCCCCTCCTCCTCCTCCTCCTCCGCCTCCTCCTCCTCCTCCTCTTCCACCTTCTTCTCCTCTTTCGCTGGATTCTCTATGCCCTCGGTCGGCAATCGTCGATCCTACGACGACTCTCCCCAACAGAGAAACATCGAAGGTCCTCGGAGCGTCCAGCATTGTTCTTTTGTGCCTTCGATATGCCGGTCGCCTCTCGTCCGCCCCCCCCCCTCCTGGAAGCAATTCTGAGGCCACGTAGGGCTTCGTGGGGGCCGTTTGGGGATCTCTTGGGGCGTTTTTGCCTGCGATATGCCTGTCGCCTCTCGTCCGCTCCCCCGCTCCTGGAGGGAATTCTGAAGCCACTGAAGGCTTCGTGGGGGCCGTTTCGGAACCTCTTCGGCCTTCTTTTGGGCCTCCCGGGGGGGATCTTAGGGCCCTCTCGGGCCGTCTTGGGTGCCTCTTGGGCCGTCTTGGGGCCGTCTGAGGCCCGCCTCGGCGCCTCTTGGGCTGTCTTGGGCCGTCTTGGGCCGCTCCTGGGGCCGTCTTGGGTGCCTCTTGGGCCGTCTTGGGCGCCTCCTGGGCCGTCCTGGGGCCGTCCTGGGGCGTCTTGGGACCGTCTTGGGGCCCTCCTGGCCCGTCTTGGGGCTCTCTTGGGGTCCTCTTCGGCCGTCTTGGAGCGGTCGGGGGGACTTCTTGGGCCGTCTTGGAGCGTCGGGAAGCCGAAGAGGCGAGGAGGCCGAAAACATCGAAAAACACACTAGAAATCAACGATTTCTGTCGCTCGGGGCCCTCTTGGGAGGCCTCTTGGGAGGCCTCTTCGGGCCTCTTGGACGCCTCTTGGGCCGTCTGGGGCGACTCTCGGGCGTCTTGGGCCCGTCTTTAAGCGTGCCGGGGCTCTCCGGGGCCGTCTTGGGGGCTTCTGGGCGCCCTCTCGACATGTCCTGGAGCCTGCCTGGGCGGCCCGGGGCGGCCCGGGGCCAGCCCGGGGCGGTTTCGGTGCATTGGGGCCTGCGCCCTTCTGGCACGCACTGGGCCCTGCAATGTAGTAGAGATGATGTCGGGCTCCAGCTTCGCCTCCCTCATCTCGCTTAGCAGCGCCAGGGCCCGCTGCCATTGCTCGCCCTTCTCGCACGCGCTGATCCCAGCGTTGTAAGTGACTAGGGCTGACCCGTGGACTACCGTCCACAAATGCCAGAGGATTGAGCGCGCGCTCGTTGCTGCTTATTGCTTCAGGGTGCGCTGTTTGCTTGATGATCCTGACGGCGTCTGGAGCAGCGCTAGCAGCAGCAGCAGCAGCAGCAGCAGCAGCAGCAGCAGCAGCAGCAGATCCAGCACCATCGGCAGCAGCAGCAGCAACAGCTGCAGCAGCAGCTCCAGCAACAACAGAAGCAACGCGGACCTCCGGGGGCCTCCCGGGGGCCTTCTCGTCCTCGTCCTCCTCGTCCTCGTCCTCGTCCTCGTCATCGTCGTCGTCGTCGTCGTGGTCGTGGTTGTCGTCGTGGTCGTCGTCGTCGTCGTCGGCGTCGTCGTCGTAGTCGTCGTCGCTGTCGTCATCGACGTCGTCGTCGTCGTCGTCGTTGTCGCCGCAAGGAGTGCTCCAGAACCGCGCCCTTGCAGGGCATGCGTCTGGCGACATGTACGCCCATGCACTCGCACCGCGCACCCTGAGCCAAGAGCGCCGGCATCCGACGTGTGCTCTTGTGTTCCTGTAGCTCTTATGCGCGCGGAATTTCCACCCCTCCCTCGCAGCTTTAAAACATCAGTACGCCGTGCAAGACCCGTTCAGTCCCCAGCACGCGCTCCGAAGGCCCCCCGAAGGCGCCATGCCCCAGCCGGGCATACATACACGCCGCGCAGCAGTCTCCCCACCACGTCCATCGGCTCTCACCCTACGGAGGCACCTGTGCACACTGGCGCCATTTCTCCCCAAAACGCTCCTCCAGGACCTCTCAGGCATGACCGCCCCTTCCCCCCTCCGCCTCCACCCCATGAGCGTGGCCCCTTCGCGGGTTCCTCAGGACACGTCGGCCCATCCACCCTTGCGCAGCCAGCGTGCCCTGGGCCTTCCTGCTCCGGAGCATCGCCCCTGATTGGAAAAAAAGCACACCCCACACCTCTTGGGACACGCATCGCCTGGGAGGGGATGCAAAAAAGCCCTGCTTGGACCACCCGCAGACGTCCCAGGCCCCCTTTCCGTGACCCCTCCCGCACGGAGCGTGCCCCTAGAGGTGTGGGGTACGGTTTTCTCCATGCCAAACGCGCGCTCCCCCTCGCCTTCCTCCTCCCCGCCCCTTGCTCGCGCCCCCCGTTCCTGCGGCTGGTGTTGCTGCCCCTGCTGCTGCTGCTGCTGCTGCTGCTGCTGCTGCTGCCGTTGCTGCTGCTGTTGCTGCTGCTGCTGCTGCTGCTGGTACGACAGTAAGATAAGGAAGATAGGATGACAGGGGGTTGAAGTAGGAGAAGCACGCACGCTGCCAGACCCCTCCCCGTCCCCACCCTGCCTCTTTTCCTGGGCGGTGCCGCCTTGGAACGGCCAAGGACCATAGTCTCGGTAGGTCCTGGGGCAGTTAGCTCCTCCTGCTCCGCCGCTTAGGCCAAAAGAAGAAGCACGAGATGTATCAAGATACCAACACAACTCACTATGGGAGCAAACTAGATCACGCATGCCATAAGGAAAGCGCATCTACACACTAGTAGAATGACAACAAGTCCTAGAACGCTAGCACATCTGGCAATCTCAAAAAGTAAGTGTGGCACGCTATACTTCAACTGCACATGGTATGAGATGACATGAGCAGCATCGGAAACGAAAAGGGCGGAAATTAGTGATTCAACTGCTGCTGCTGCTGCTGCACCCACCCGCGCATTAACTGCAGCAGCAAAAAGAAAGATAACTCCACCGTGCACGATACTCGGGGCAATCCTCGAGGACCAGGGCGGGCTCGGGGGCGTGAACGTCTCAATCACCCATAGCACGATATCTGTACATAGCCCTAGGGGCATCCAAAGACACCAGCAAAGCTTACGTAACCATCTTCGATAACGACGGAATGTTCTTCTGACTACTCTGCACACAATCACTGCTTAATCATCTTTCTCGAGGAATTTCAAGAGCTGGCAGATCTTCGCCTTTTGTCTCTACCCGTGGTGGTGGATAGCGAGTTCGAGGCCAAGACTTTGTTGAGGTATGCCTGTGTCAAGCCTGGGGTGTCCGCCAGGCGCTGGATCCACTCATCTTTCTTATCAGGAAAAATCATCGATCGATAGATCTGGCATCAGCTTCACCGCGAGCTTTCTCATGGTTGGCGTGATCTCTGATACTGGAACTGCTGCCACCTCATCTGCACTTGCCGACTGGTCATGTCCACCGTCTGCATCTGGGAGCTTCAACTTGTTGATGGTACTTGGGGACGCAGCTGCCTTCGAGGGGCTGCCGTTGTCACTGGCGAGCGGGTGCGTCTTCATGGTCTTGAGGAGCTTCATGAACTCCTGGCACTCCTTGCTCTGCATCTTCTCGGGCGAGGGGGTCGGTACAGCTTTTGACTTCGGGTTGATCTGCTGGAGTAGGTTTTTCATTTCTTTCTCAGGCTCCAGGTCATCATCCGTGTCTGACTGATCATCTTTCAGTTTCTTGAGCATGCTGAGGATCTTCTTCTGCTTGCTTTTTTTCTTTTTTAGAGCTCAGCTTCTTCTCTCTGAGGATGGCGCGGATCTTCTTGAAAATCGTCATGTTGCTCTTGTTATGGCTGCTGTCCGCGCTGCTGCTGGTTCGGCTCTGGCTGCTCTCATCACTCGGGTTATTTTGCAGCACACGACTCCCTGCGAGCTTCAAGAACTTGAATGGAGAGGACTTGGCCTTGTCCTTGTCCTTGTTCTTCGTCACGTGCTTCGTCGACTTGTCTTTAGATTTGGTTCCGAACAGCTCTCCGATGCAGCTTGCCACGCTGCTCGCCACGCTCTGCTTGAAGGTCTTCTCCTCATGTCGTTGGGCACGCTCTTGTTCACGGGCCTGGTATGCATCGTTCAACTTCTTCATGTCCTGCAGCGCGGGGTGTACCCATGCGGCGCTGCCACCACCACTTCCGCTACTTCCTGATCCACTCCGTGACGTACGATTCTGGTTCCAGCTGTTGCCGAAACTTCCTTACCCTTTGCCGCCTCCACGTCCCTTGCCTCCGTTGTCCTTTCCCATGGCGTACTCACGATCGGATTCGAGTGCATGGCAGGATGGTAGCGTGTGATCGCTGTTGGCTCTATCTCTCCGAGGGCCGGAGGTAGGCCGGCTACGACCCGCGCAGAGTTCGAGCCAGGATGGGACTGGACAGGGATACCAGCTTAGTGCGAAACTCCAGCCTACTGCATTCCCCAGGGCCTTCGCCAATGTCATCAAATCTCTAACTGTCGTGTCTAAGCGCTCTCCCCACTTTTTTACAATACGCGATGTAGGCAGAGGTGTGGCGACGAGGTACTGACTGGAGCCCTCTCGCCAAGATCCTAGCTGGCCATGCATGTGCCAACAACTCCACCAGGAGATCGATTGTGGCATCGCGTGCATATTGGGCTTTGCCCTGGGACATCGCATTAAATGTGATAACTCGTTCCCACACTCGCACGATGATGAAACGACGAGGGAGGCAGGAGGGGGCGGAGCGGAGGTCAGGATACTTACCAAATTTGGGGTTAGGGGTTTTTCTAGTAGCCCAGTCCGTATTAGCGGAGAAGGCCTCACAGCGTACCCCATTCCCCTCTGAATGTATGACTGTCTGAAGATATGCGGTAGGAAACTCAGCACTTTCACACGTGAGCCCGACGTCGGGGGGGAAGACTTTTCGCAGTGACTTGAAAAGGCAGGAACTACAGAAGACTCTCGAAAAGCATAGGCTATCATCCACGTACAACAGTCCCTGGATAATCTGTCCTGCGGTGAGTCCTGGGCGTGCCAACCCACACTTCTTGGCGAAGGCCGCATCGCAATATAACTTGCGAATCTCATGCCCGAGGTCCGCCAATGTGGCCGGCTCTGAGAGTGACCCCCCCATCGGCCAGCCACGCTTTCGTAGGAAGACGGCATCGCCGACCATGAAATGTTTCTCGAGGGGAACGCATTTAAATGCCATCCTGATGTCCTTAAATGTGACGGCCTGATGGGTTTTTGGGCATTTCTGACCTGGACGTAGCAAAAACCCATCTGCTTTTTTACCTCGGCGCACTGCCACGCCCGTGGCTCCCTGGGTTCCTGTGATCCTAGCCAGGAGGTCCAGTGCTCGCTCTGCGCCTCTCTCCATTGATGCGCCCTTGAAAAAACTGAGACGCGTCAGCCTTGAGGATGGAAAGGGGAGGCTTCGAGCATTTACATCGTGCACATGTATTGATACAAGTCGGTGCTGCCGCAAGAAATGCAATGCGCGTGTGTATGATGGCTGGCAACTCATTGGGTGTCCAAATCGTCCAACTCGGGTCTCCAGATAGTCGCTTTGCAATACGAAGTGCACGGGCTGATATTGATAAGAAAGAACTTTTTGTTGCACGCGCGTTGCTGATGATTTCTCTGGTATGTGCATGTGCTTTAGTACATACGAGTCTGCCTGTATCGGGGTCCAAACATTTGCCCTTAAGTGTGAGGTATCCTCGGGGAAGGTCCCCCCACCTCTGCTTTATTCGGGTTCCTCCATTTGTTCGGGACCATTTGGGCATCACGTCTCCGCTGGGCACGACATAACTGCTTAGGCGAAAGATTTGGCTGGAAACTATAGCGGTCAATGTCGGTGAGAAAACACTGTCCGAGCTGCCAGAAGTAACAGTACCAAGGGATTCCGACTCGTCTGCGTGCACCTTTGTCCAAACTGACCCAGCAGGCATCAGGGAAGGTTTGCTCCAGTTGAGCCTGTACCTGCCCAATCGGCGTCTCTCCCTCCCTTCTCGCAGCACAGGCAGCAGAGGACGCGCAACGGGAGAAGAAGAAGGAGCGAAAGAGGGACAGGGGTGGAGGAGGCTGGGTAAACTGCATGGTATGGAAGTGACGACTGAGCTGTGGCTCCAGCTCCCGCCAGATGCCGTCCGCCGTCGGCTCTTTGGGTATTGTCCAGTAACGTTTGCACCATATGGCATCTCTCGTGAGTCTACAACTGAGGTCTGGGTCAGTACATATCGCAAAGTATGTGATGTATGAGAACATACGGGCAGCCATGGGCTGGTGTGTAAACGTGTCGGCATAGCTTGGTACCTTTGTACCCACAACGCAAGTTTTGTGCATGAGATATCCGAACAACAACATGTTATCTCCACACACGTGCCTAAGATAGTATCGTACTGTGCTACGTGTCTTCTCCAGGAATCCTGGTCTGTCACACGGCACTCTGAATTGATAACGATCCTTAGGCAACAAGTTCCCTGTGTGCAAAAATCTTTCAAGCTTACTTCGACATAGAAATCGTTTCTGGGATGGGAGACAACCTGCACAGCACCAAACATGCAAAACGTAGTCCGTGACATATGCATGCTTCCATGTTCGTGCGTAGTCCATGCGTGACTTGGGGTCTGCCAAGTACAGGGCAAGCCAAGCTTCTTGGCCTCTGTCATACATGAGTCTCCGCACGTCACGCTCTTGCATTCCACGGTGTTGTTGCAACCATGCGACCAATAGGGGGAATGATGCACCTTGTGCTTCAAAACGCTCACGTACGGCATGCATGTGATGTGTGGCAGCGACCAAGTTGAGTTCAAGCTCTCTCTGTATTGTGGGCAATTTACGAAATCGAGGGAAAAGCCTAGGTCTAGGGCCCGCATTTCCTTTAGACCTGGTGGGGGGCCGGCGGCCCCGCCCCCCAGGTGATCCACATGAAATTGTCCACATTCGACTATCTCGCTTGATCTGAGTTGGAGGTCTGAGGATATCAATGGCAAGGGCTTCAAACTTGTATATGTTCTGATGTGTGCTGAATGTGACAGGCATAGCAACGAGCGACCACCATGCACACTTGTTCCATGCTTTCTAGCGTGGTCTGTGTGTCTGGTGACCTGTTGCTCGGAAGGAAGCATCGTAGTGTTCTCTAAAACGTGCAACTCCACCGAACCATTCTTTCTTATTCGTGATGCGCGCCATGGCTGCTTTGCCAAGGTACCACGTTCCTCCCTCGGTGCCCCACGCAATATATAGCATACTGTGGGAGTCGGGGTGGAGGGAGGGGAACCATATGGCGCTATGTAAGTTTTCGATGTAGCTCTTCCAAAAATTTGTGTTGAAGGTATGTGCGAGGATGGCATGCTGTAGGCGTGGCTTGGAGGCTCTGAGGAAGACTCTAACGTAGTGCTTAGCATGATGATGTATGGCACAAAAGTATAGTCCCTGGATGCAACCAAGAGCATAGTAGACACTCCAAATATCCAGGCTCGCATGCCCTCGCATGAGCCATAGGCCCAATACACACCTAATATCTTTAAGTCTCTCGTGATGGCCATTCTCTGGGAACCCGTCTCTGGCCCAGGCAAAGTACTTTGCCGTGATGATGTGGCCTGTTGGGTTCTGATACTGCGTTGCATTAGCACGACTGTGGTTCGCCACCAGTTGCAGTATATGTCTGGGTTGCTGCCTTTGTATCTCTCGTTTCCAATCTGGCGTGCTGAACTTGCCGAAGATGCGTAGTGCTCTTTGCTGCGCTGGCTCCATCGGTGGTCCAGGCAGCACGTATGATGTATTTGGTAGACGGGGAAAGGAAAATGAATTCGTATCCACCCCCGCCCCAATAGGGGATTCTGGGGGTGAGTTGCTGGTACGACAGTAAGATAAGGAAGATAGGATGACAGGGGGTGAAGTAGGAGAAGCACGCACGCTGCCAGACCCCTCCCCGTCCCCACCCTGCCTGTTTTCCTGGGCGGTGCCGCCTTGAAACGGCCAAGGACCATAGTCTCGGTAGGTCCTGGGGCAGTTAGCTCCTCCTGCTCAGCCGCTTAGGCCAAAAGAAGAAGCACGAGATGTATCAAGATACCGACACAACTCACTATGGGAGCAAACTGGATCACGCATGCCATAAGGAAAGCGCATCTACACACTAGTAGAATGACAACAAGTCCTAGAACGCTAGCACATCTGGCAATCTCAAAAAGTAAGTGTGGCACGCTATACTTCAGCTGCACATGGTATGAGATGACATGAGCAGCATCGGAAACGAAAAGGGCGGAGATTAGTGATTCAACTGCGGCTGCTGCTGCTGCTGCTGCTGCTGCTGCTGCTGCTGCTGCTGCTGCTGCTGCTGCTGCTGCTGCTGCCGTTGCTCTCCCTCCGCATGCTCTTCCTCCCCTCCTCTCGCCCTCCTCCTCCGTCTCATTCCCTTCCCCCTGTCCAGGCTATAGCAGGCTGTTCCCAGCGGAAGCATCGGGGAAGCGGCGGGGGGGGGCCCTCCGATACCTGGGAGGGGGTCCTCGAGGGGCTCTGTGGGAGCCTCTGGAGAGCCTCTGGGAGCCTCTGGAGAGCTCTTGGGGGCGCCTCTGGAGCCTTCCGGGAGCCTCTGGAGAGCGCCTGGGAGCCTCTTGGGAGCGCCTCCAGGGCCTTCTGGGGGACTCTCGGGGGCGTCTTGGAGCCTTGCTGGCCGTGGAGGGGCCCGGAGGGGGGGGAAGCGATCCGAACTGGACCCTCTTGGGCGTTCCTTGGGGCCGTCTGGGGGGGGTTCTTGGGCCGTCTTGGGGGCCTGGGAGCTCGATCGGGGGCCTCTGGGGCCGTCTTGGGGGCTCTCTTGGAGGCCCCCCGGGCAGCATGGGCCCGATTTCGGTCGCCCGCGGTGCCGTGGTGGGCGTCTTGGGGCGGGTGGGAGGAGCACCACCGGAAACGTCAAAAACCCTAGAGAATATCAATAGTTTTGCGGCCTCGGGGCCCTCGTGGGGGTCCCCTGGGAGCTCCGTGGAAGCTCGTGGGGGCCCTCCGAGCCCGTCCTGGGGCCCTCTCGGGCTCGCTGGGGAGCTCCCGGGAGACTCTCGAGGCCTCCGTCGGCGCCCTCACGGGCCGTCCTGGGGCTGTCCCGGGCCGGGACGGCGTCACCCCACGGGCGGGGCACCCAGGGCGCCGCCGCGGGTGACCATCGCTCGTCCTTCTCGCACGCGCAAATGCCCGATATTGTAGTATAGATGACGTAGGGCTCCAGCTTCGCCTCCCACATCTCGCTCAGCAGCGCCAGGGCCCGCTGCCACTGCTCGCCCTTCTCGCACGCACTAATCCCAGCACTGTAGCTGATGATGTTGGACTCCAGCTTCGCCTCCCTCATCTCGCTCAGCAGCGCCAGGGCCCGCTGCCACTGCTCGCCCTTCTCGCACGCACTAATCCCAGCACTGTAGCTGATGACGTTGGGTTCCAGCTTCGCCTCCCACATCTCGCTCAGCAGCGCCAGGGCCCGTTGCCACTTCTCGCCCTTCTCGCACGCACTGATCCCAGCATTGTAGCTAACTAGGGCAGACCTGTGGACTCCGTCCACGATATCAGCTCGACGTGGCGAGGGGTCTCTGGGCCAGCGCGGGGGGGTGCGGCTGCAGGGCCGAAAGGCAATCAGCTGCTGCTGCTGCTCGGAGGTCCTGCTGCTTCCTCCCCCTCCTCCTCCTCCTCCTCCTCCTCCTCCTCCTCCTCCTCCGCCTCCTCCTCCTCCTCCTCCTCTTCCACCTGCTTCTCCTCTTTCGCTGGATTCTCCATGCCCTCGGTCGGCAATCGTCGATCCTACGACGACTCTCCCCAACAGAGAAACATCGAAGGCCCTCGGAGCGTCCAACATTGTTCTTTTGTGCCTTCGATATGCCGGTCGCCTCTCGTCCGCTCCCCCCCTCCTGGAAGCAATTCTGAGGCCACTTAGGGCTTCGTGGGGGCCGTTTGGGGATCTCTTGGGGCGTTTTTGCCTGCGATATGCCTGTCGCCTCTCGTCCGCTCCCCCGCTCCTGGAGGGAATTCTGAGGCCACTGAAGGCTTCGTGGGGGCCGTTTCGGAGCCTCTTCGGCCTTCTTTTGGGCCTCCCGGGGGCTCTTAGGGCCCTCTCGGGCCGTCTTGGGTGCCTCTTGGGCCGTCTCGGGGCCGCCTGAGGCCCGCCTCGGTGCCTCTTGGGCTGTCTTGGGCCGTCTTGGGCCGCTCCTGGGGCCGTCTTGGGTGCCTCTTGGGCCGTCTGGGGCGCCTCCTGGGCCGTCCTGGGGCCGTCCTGGGGCGTCTTGGGACCGTCTTGGGGCCCTCCTAGCCCGTCTTGGGGCTCTGTTGGGGTCATCTTCGGCCGTCTTGGGGCGGTCGGGGGGACTTCTTGGGCCGTCTTGGAGCGTCGGGAAGCCGAAGAGGCGAGGAGGCCGAAAATATAGAAAAACATAATAGAAATCGACGATTTCTGTCGCTCGGGGCCCTCTTGGGAGGCCTCTTGGGAGGCCTCTTCGGGCGTCTTGGAGGCTTCTTGGGCCGTCTTGGGCCAATCTTGAGCGTCTTGGGCCCATCTTGAGGCGTGCCGGGGCCCTCCGGAGCCGTCTTGGGGGCCTCTTGGGGCTTCCTTGGCCCGTCTTGGGGCCTCCCGGGGCGGCCCGGGGCGGCCCGGGGCCAGCCCGGGGCGATTATGAGTTAATGGGGCCTGCGCCCTTCTGGCACGCACTGTGCCCTGCAATGTAGTAGAGACTACGGCTGACCCGCGGCCTTCCGGCTGCGGAGTCTGCCCGCCATGGTGAGGACGTGGAAATGGAGCGTCTCTGGGGCCTCGCGGGGGGGAAGGTTGGAGGGGACGGCATGGATGGAGGAAGTGGCCGCTGAAGGGGGAGGTGGGCGAGGGATGCAGGCAAGCAGGCCTGAAGGCAAGAACGCATGTAGGCACAACTTGATGTGGACAGAAGCTGTTTCTCACGCCGCGCTCTGTGTTCATCATAGCTTTTGCGGGGCGGGTCGCCGTGATGATATTATCTCGTCTTAGCTGGGGCCGCGCTATATACGACCCAAGAGGCCCACAAGAGGGCGCCGAGACGGCCCGCACTGGGGCCGCTCAGGCGCCCAGTGCACTGGAGGATCACCGATAGGACGCTGGAGAAACTGTCAAGTAACTGTCACTTTGGTTTACTTGGGCTGCGCGTTAGGAGCCTTCTCGGGGTGTATGGACACTCTTGGGGCCTTCTTCGGGGCATGCTCGGGACATCTCTGTGGCTCCTAGTATCGGCTTTTGGGTCATTTTGGCCGCCCTCCTCGTCCTCCCCTGGATCGGTCATCAAGTCGATCTTCTTTAGGAGCCATCTCGGTGTGTGTCTTGGGGCCTCCTTCGGGTCATGCTCGGGACATCTCGGTGGCTTCTATCGGCGTTGGGGGCCATTTTGGGTGTCCTCCTCCTCCTCCTCCCGTCGATCCTTCATCCCGTCGATCTTTTCGTCAGTCGTCGACACTCCCCAAGAGACAAGCATTCAAGGCCTCATGGGGTCCGTTTAGAAGCCTCATTTCGTCCTCCTGGGGGTCTCTGGGGCCCTCTTGGGCCGTCTTGGGTGCATCTTGGGCTGCCTTGGAGCGATCTGGGGCCGTCTTGGGCGCCTCTGGGGCCATCTTGTGGCCGCCTTGGGGCCGTCTTGGGCCGTTATTGACCGCTCTTGGGGCTGTCTTGGTTGCCTCTGGGGCCGTCTAGGGCGTCTCTGGAGCCGTCGCGGGGCCGCCTCTGGCCGTTTGGGGGCCATCCTGGGGTGCTCTGGGGGCATCTTGGGGCGATCGGGAAGGCCTGTATAGCCGTCTTGGACGCGGTGAAGACGAAAAGAGCGAGCATATCAAAAATGTACGTTTTCCGGAGGGTTATGGGGCAATTTTTGCCTATTGGGTCCCTCCTGGGGGTCCACCTGGGCCGCCTTGGGAGCCTCCTGGCCTGCCTTGGAAACCTCTGGGGCCGACCTGGGGCTCGGTTGGGTCCCTCTGGGTCTGTCCGGGCGCCCTCGTGGGCGTCTCTGAGCCGTCTCGGAGCGGCCCGGGGGCTCGCAGGGCGGCCTGGAGAGCCCGGCGGACATTTCAAGACAGAGGACCTTCTGGCACGCAAAGATCGCTGCATTGTAGAAGAGACTAGGGCTGACCTGTGGACTACAGTCCACGGTTGCTAATGTGTTGGGAGGGCGCATGCTGCTGCGTAGTGCTTCAGGGCGAGCTGGGTGCTCGATGATCCTGTCGGCGCCGGGGGCATGGTTTGCAGCAGCATCGGATATAGCAGCATCGGCAGTGACCCGAGAGGTGGGTGGAGCGACGTGACTGGCAAACGACGGCAGCCGCTGTGCAGAGGGAACCGTGGGCAACGAGGAGAAGGAGGTCGAGCAAGGGAGTGTAACCTGTCTGGAATGACCATACCCCGCGCCTCCTGGAACACGCGCCGTGCGGGAGTAGTCCCAGAAAAAGCGTTCCGGGGCGTTGGCGGCGGCTCGGTCTGAAAGGTTTTTCGGCCATCCCCTTCCAGCCCAAGATGGTCCCAAGAGGGCCCCAAGAAAGCTCCAAAGGGGCCCCAAGACTGTTCCAGAGGGCCCCAAGAGGGCCCCAAGTGAGCCCCCCAGAGCTCGAGACGCGGGGGCAAGTCGGCTAGAGCTCTCAGGGGGCCCTCAGCCCCCATAGGACCCCCTCAGGAAGACCCAAGACTGCCCCAAGAGGGCCCCATGAGAGTTTGAAAAAGGCCCAACAACTTGTCACGAAAAGGAGCCGTCTTCGTGACAGGTTGTAGGCCCCTCTTGGGGCCCCAAGATGGCCCCAAGAGGGCCCCAAGAAAGCTCCAAAGGAGCCCCAAGACGATTCCAAGAGAGGAGGGAGCCCACCTGTGAGTACAAAACAATACCCCGCACCTCATGGGACACCTCTTCCTCGGGAGGGCTTGCCAAAAATTCGTCTGGGCCCCCCCGCGGCACCCAGGGACGCTGTTTCCTGAGGCCTCTCTCGCACGCCGCGTGTCCCAGGAGGCGTGAGGTACGATGCGAGAGATGTCCCAAGAGGTGTGGGGTGTGTGTTTTTCCAATCCGACGGGGCTCCAGTGAAATAGGAAATTCCAGGGCTTCCTGGGAGTCCACCCGGGCCATGGTGGGCCGATTTCGGAAACCTTGGGTGCCGTGCTGGGCCAGATGGGGGGGTTGTTCCAGAGTTGGCCTTCTGGGGAGGCTTCTCGCGGTCCTCTTGGAAGGGGCATCTTGGGGCCTCTTATGGGCCTCTTGGGGGCCTCTTGGGGGCGTCTTGAGGCGGAAGGCTGGGATCTTGGGTTCGAGGTCCCCCTCTTGGGGCCGTCTTGGGGCCCTCTTGGGCCGTCTTGGGCGCGTCTTGGGCCGTCTTGGCGCCCTCTTGGGCCGTTTTGGGGGCCTCTTGGGAGCCTCGTGGGCCGTCTTGGGCCGGTCTTGGGGGCTTCTTGGACCGTCTTCAGCGCCATGAAAGCCGAGAAGCCGTGCATGCTCAAAATGTACGTTCTCCTCCGGAAAATCTATGATTTTGGCCTTGGGGCCCTCCTGGGACGCCACTTGAGCGTCTCGTGGGCCGTCGTGGAAGCCTCTTGGGCCGTCTTGGGCTCTCTTGGGGCTCCCTGGAAGCCACCGTGGGCTCTCTGGGGGCCCTCGTGGACCGTCCCCACGAGCGGAGCCGCCGAGGTGCCACCCCCCAGGGCCTGGCGAGGGTGCCCCCAACGGCCCTTCTCGCACGCGCAATGCCCGGTATTGTAGGTTAGACTGGCGTTCTGGGGGCCGTCTTGGACCGTCTTGGGCGGCTCTTGGGGCTGTATTGGGTGCCTTCTGGACCGTCTTGGGACCGTCGTCTGCCGTTTTGGGCGCCCATTGGGCCGTCTTCTGGCCGTCTTGGGCCGTCTGGGGCAGTCTTAGGGGCTATCTTCGTCTTGGGGCCCTGATAGGGGCATCTTGGGCCGATCGTGGGGGGGCTCAGTCGTGGACGCGTCGCAGACGAAAAGCACGAGAAAACAAAAAAAAAAAAAAAAAAAAAGACTGGGACGATTTGCGCGTCTCGAGGCTGTCCTGTGGAATCCTCGAGGGCCGTCTTCGGGGCTCCTGGCCCGCCCCGGGGGCCCTTGGAGCCGTCGGAGCGGCTTTCTGAACGGCTCGGAGCGCCCCTGGGGCCGTCGGGGTGGCCTCTGGAGTGGTTCGGAGCCGTCTTGGGGTCGTCGTGGGGCCGTCGCGCGCCCTCTTCAGCGGCGTCCTCGGTGCCTCTGGGTTGCTTTTGCGGCTCTTCCAAAGCCCCAAAAGCGACCCAAAGGCACCGAGGACGCCGCCGGGCGCGGGCCCACCATTCTGCCACGAAAGGCCCTTATGTGGCAGAATGCCTCAGGCACGCCCGGGGTGAGCGTTGGGGGCCGTTGACGGCCTCACATGGCTTCAAAATCGCCCATGAGCCCGCCAAGACTCCGCGAGGCACCCG